CAAATCCATCCCTATTTCTGGTATTTGCAGTAAATACTGAGCTGCAGCCTGAAATATTCATAGACACCGAGTCACTGCAGAGTCTGCCCAGACAAGGGAAGTTTCAGGTGCCCCTGCATGTACTAAGTTTTGCAGAATGTATTACATGAGAACTGGAACAAAAAGTCATTGAATATTCAATCAGCCCTTAAGAATTGTATTATCTGAGACAAAATTGCTGTTGCCATGGATTTTTACAAACATGAAAATATGAAACTTTTACAAAGGTGAAGATTTAGAGATGGCGCTAAAATTATGCCATTATCATCCCCAGGTGACAGTATGGCCTTTAATGAGGTAACAAAGCGTATGAAGCAGAAATTAGTCTAGAAATTAATAACCTTTTTTAATGATCATTAGCTCAAGAGTACTTAGGTCTGGGATTGTAAAAGGAGTCTAAGGTAGTTAGATGCTAAGTTTAATGTGATCTGGGGACTTGGGCGGATTCAACTGCCTGATCTCTTGGGTTTCTCAGAAGCTGTGCTCTGTACACTCACACATAGTAATGGTCTGTTTGTTTGATATCAGTAGATTCTCCTCTTTGTGCTGTATGTACTGCCTCAGTCTGACCTTGGCTCAGAGCTGCAGCTAGTGCCTTTGTCTCACATTTATCAGAGAAACTAAGCCCTGTCCATTAGATAATTTATAAACTACAGCTGCTTTTCCATCAGAGTTACCCAGGATATGCTTGAGCTGTTTTGTATCTCTTGCTGTGCTGAAAGCCACAGACAGTGACCCAAAGTTATTGTCCTGGTTGCGGGTATTATCCTCGTCCCACACTCTCTGCTTCCCTGCTTGAACCCAGACATCCCATGGACAGCAGAAGAGAAAACATCACAACCAGCACCAATGAACTAGGAAACTGCCCCTACATGGCATGGAAAGAGCTGCAGGAATGGATCAGTATGGAAGAGGCTGTGCGGCCTTTCCTCAGCTCTGCTGCTTGTCATGGATGAGATAATGTGAGACTATGCCAAGAGGCAATAAGATAGGGTGTGTTGTGTGATATTACAGAAAGGGCATGTCATAAACATTACAGAGAGGAATTAGCTGATGCCCTCGTGAAGATACAAATATGTGGGCTGTTCATTTATGAAGATTCTGTTGGAATTTTTTCAGATTCCCTCCTCTCCACTGCCTCTGTTTATAGCTTCCTTTTGTCCTTTTCTGCCTTTTTGCAACCAGTACACACGGTACTATTAACCAAATCAAAATCCTTTCCATTCCCTTCAGTAGACCTGTTGGGGTAATGTCAGCTACCCCTACCAACCAGAAAATCACCTCACCTTCCCTCAAATAACTTTGAAAAACTCTTTTCACCTCTGCTCCATTTGTGCCTCCCTAAATAAACCCTCTGCCCTATACGGTCTGGGATTTTAATTCCTGACCTGGCTGTAACTCAGTTCAGCAAGGTGTTACTGGCATGATCAGCTGAACAGAGATAAAAGAAGCAGGTACAATCTGGCTCATGTAAGATGAGATACCTTGCTGGTTTGCAGATTAGCTACTGTGTATTGTTTTACCATTTTACCATTTGTCCCATCTTCTCTTCAACGACGGAAAATCCTATCTTTGCTCTCTTTTGACATGTTTCAGATCTCAGTTTTGTTGTTTATGTAGTAGGTATTTCCAGTTTATGTGTTACTGACTCAGATCCCCGTGGACCTGATTGACAATTGAGAAAGTTAAAGAACCTTGAGTTTATCACACTGTATGGAGCTCATGCTTGTGAGAGTTTTGACTCACAAATACTTTGATTCAAGAACACTTTCTCTATGCTACTGAGAATGAGAGGTATATAGAGTATATAATGCCAGACAGTGGAGAGGAGAGAAGGAAGGTAAGAGAACTGGACACTCTGCATGCTACGAAATAAACTGTGCAGATGTGGAAAAAAGATCCTCTTTTCTCTCTTCAGAGAGTTAATGATAAGCCCAAAAGTTAAATTCTATTGACCTATGCAGGGCACTGTTACAGAAACATAATGCTCCTGCAGGAAAAGATCTTTGTGTTTATTATAGACTACTATATTTGGTTGCACCAAATACATCAAAATAATCTAGGCAGGACCACAAGATGGTAAAGAAAAAGTATTTTTTTTTTAATGTTTCTACAGAATAAAACTGCTCTGTGTTTTAAACGATCACTTTTTCAAATGAAATGGTATTTCTTTTGTTCAGAAACAACAAGCTACAATGTTATTATTTTCATGCATTAGTTTAAAATATGATTATTATTTTTGCAGGACATGTCAGCAGGAATTAGTAATTTTGAGCACCTATAAAAGTGATAGGTTGAACTGATCCTTGACACAACAAATAACTCCCCAATTAGTCATCTGTAGGATGAGTCTGAAGATATTAGGTAGGCTTAATTGAATACATTCATTGAGAATCAATAGTTCAAAAAATGGTGCTTGCCCTTGATTGCCAATGGGTTGAAATTATTGTAATGTTGTGTTAATTTAAGACTGCTTTCCCTTTCACTTGCTTGAACTCATGGGAATTTTTAGCAGAGTTTCTCTGCCTGCTTTCTGGAACTCATTTTTCATTTCTGATGAATTTAAAATCAGTGGGCCAGAGAACTAGAGCAGTGGTTGCAGCATGGGAGATGCAACAGAAGGAAACAGTGTGAAACTCAAGCAAAATAAAATAAAATACAACAAAAATCACTACAAAAATTTGAACCTCATCCTCTAAAACAGAATGTTACCGACCTTAACTATGTTCCAGCAGTGTGGCACAGTTATGACAAAGGCAAATATAGTCCTGCCTGCCAGACAGTACCTACTCTGATTGCTAATCTCATGGTTGACCCTGGACCACCTTCCTCCACCTTGGTGATTAACACTTTGTGTCGGATGTGACTGACACACAGACAAGACTGAACCCTGTCCCCAGCCACAACAGGTGTCTCTGTGAAGCACCCTGAGCATGGTGCTGCTCTCCTCCACAAACCCCAACTCAAGAGCTGCTTCTCTGAACTGCTCTGATGAGACACCCTGCATTTCCCCCTCCTACAACAAACCTCATCACATTCAGGTACTATGTGCTTGTAGCTTTGGTTGTTAAATAGAGACTGGATTTTGAAAGTTTCCTTCTTTCAGCCTCTGAAATCAGTCAAGGGACAAGGGGGGAACACTTGGTGCAGTGACAAATAAGCACAACTTGGTGCTAAGTCCTGCCAAACTCTTCCTGGCAGCTTTGTAATATACTTGTGCCAAACAGATGATAAAAGCTGGCAGTTATGGATGTATTTTGTGGTGCAACTCATGGATGACAGAAAAAGCTACACTGAAAAAAGCAGCTCATTCCAAGCTTTTACGCTGACCTGCCCAGGCCATATTTTCTGCACCTCTGTCCTCTATACCACCACTGTTTATATTTAGTGTATCAAATTTTAAAAGTGGAGGTCATCTCTTACAGGATTTGCAGAGTGCCTAAAGCAATGTGCTCACAGTTAGGAACAGACCTATACAACTGCTATTAGGACAAAACACTAATGAGCTCTTAATTGTGGAGTATTCCACAACAGTGTGCTCTTAGACTCTCCCAGATTAAATGTTTTTACACACACACCTGCTCTGGGGATCATGCAGAGTCTAAATGAAGCACAGAAGTCATGATGTTACATGGAACAAAAGAAAATTTCGGTAGAGAACACTTCAGTCTGTTCCTTTTGGAGACAGTCCTGCTATGAAAGGCTAAAATTTCAGAAAGTTTCCCCCTATAACAGAAGAAAAGAAATAGTACTGGGGGTCCCAAATGAAGGGAACCTAGTTGCAGGATGTTTCTGCAGGAAAACCTTTCTTCTCCAATGCTCTTCTGAAGAGTAATTAGAAGAACAGCCTCCTGGGGGGCCAAATACTAATTTTGAGACAGGTAGTCTAAATGCAGTGTTGCTTCCTTAAGCCACAGGTATTTATTCATTACAATTCCATAGCAGTGTGAATAGCCACTTTAAAGCCAAATGGCCTATTAATTATAAATCTGTACCCCTTTAGCAATACTATGCACTTGAGTTATGATTTGCCAGTGCTTGTAAATGTGCAGGACTATACTGCTTCTATTTTATTCTGAGATTAATTCCAGTGGAGACAGATGATCAAATCCTGACCTCACATCACTCTAACCTTGTTTTACTTCCTCCAGCTGTTTGTGGCCTAGGAGTGTTCCCCAAAAAAAGTCAATGCAGACTGTACCAAACCAAAGCCAGGACTTAAAACTGAAGGAGGCTCATGGAAGCTCTATGACTCTGCCTTCTCTTCCTGCCCCTCCTCTCAGCTCTCAGTGTCTAGCAGGGGTGACAGTGGGAAGATGAAATGATTTTTTCCTGCTTTACTTTCATCACAACAGGGTAATTTACTTGTATATAAGTCTGCTCAGGCAGAGTACCACTCAGTCACTGAACAAAGGCTCAAAGCACCATGCACCAGGCAGGCTGGTCCTGCTCTTCCACCCAACACCAAATTTCAAGCAATGATCCTTCCCTTCCAGATGACTCTGCTAGCAACCAGGAGTTGAGGCTATGTTTGTTTCTGTCATGCTTGGTTGCCTTTTAACTGACTTAGCACTTAATTGCAAAAAACTCTGGCAGAAAGCAAGCCGCCTTTAGCTTTTGGGCCTCAGTTTTCAGTGCTATTTTGATTCCAAATGGGCTTTTGATGTCACAGCCAAAAGTATAAAGAGGAGATAAATACGATTTTGACCACCTTCTATGAAGCATTCCTGACTGTGTTAATTTTCTGCATAGAAACCTCTCTCACACTTCCTAGATGGATTTTACTCCTTTGCTAAAGAGATAGCAGAAAAAAACCTCAATATGTCATTTAAGTCCTCAAAATGAAGCCAAAATGCCATTTGAAAGATGAATAGGGTTGTGGCTAGGGGTATTCTTTTTTCTCATACCTTTACTGGTACAATTTTCTACTCTGATACAGCTATTTTATTTTTCCTTTCTAGTTTTTTCTAACAGAATACACCGGACCTCTTCTAATATATCTGCTCTTTTATATTCGCCTCTCAACTATTTATGATCAAGTGGAAAGTAGGAAGAACTTCCGCCACCCAGTGGTTCAGTAAGTGACACTTATGTGAACAACTTTCCTGGAGCATGAGGAGCCAGAGGGATGGAGATTGCACTTCCAGAGTGGAGGAGGTTACACGGAGTATGGGGCTTCATACCAGGTTTAAGATTCAATTCTTACCAGTGACAGTTTGGCATTTTAGCAGAACTCATAAGCCTGGCCAAAAATGGGATCCCAGTTGCAATGGTCACCATGGGGGATGCAGTATTTTCTCCAAATAGTTTGCACTCTAGACACAAAGCCTCAACAGAGAGTGAAATAATAAAAACAGTGGGTAGTGACTCAAAGTCAAGCTTGATAGAGAAGAGAGGACAAGACTTCAGGTGTGCTACTCCCACTCTATTTATAGCACATTCCTGCTCATGAGATGAGTAGCATCAGCATCCAGCACAGAAGATAACTACCCCCACAGCAGCACTCACCTAGGCAGAAGAAGGAGGAAATTCAACAGGTGTGCATGTCACGAGTCAGGTCAAGAAATTCTAAAGGGGCATCTCCACAGGATGGTGGTATAATGCACCAGGAAGACTGGGAACTTTCACACTTAAGGAACTTCCCTTCAGTGTGATTGGCCCCATTCTGGGTGGTTAGTGCCTGTCAGAAGGGTAAAATGTGACCAAGAAAAGCCTGTCACCTGTGTAAGTTGGACTACTTGTTGGAGGGCACACAGGGAACTAGAAAGCTCAAAGGACTGTACAGCTCTCCCATAGCACTTTTTCCACCCTGTGATTGCAGAATCAAGGGAACTGGTATACAGTAGAGAAATACAATGAGTAATAATACCTTTTACAGATGGAGGAACAAACACCTGGAGAGACGTTAAGGGGGTTAGTGGAGCGGGGAGTTAGAACAGAGAATTGAAGTCAAATCCAGAGCTGCAAGATGTTTGTCTTCCTTCTCTTGCTCATATGCTTAGAAGGAGAGCACAGAAGAACCAGAAACACCTTTACCTTCTTTTATGTAGGCAAGGAGTGTACAGAATCCTTCCAGTGGCCACTCCTTAATGGGTTCATCTGAGGTCCCCATCCTAAGCCAAATTAATTTTAAAATTCCCAGCAAAGCTGAAAGTTTGCTCCAGGCTTTGGATAAGTCATTAATTGTTTGAAAATTTTTTAACTCGACTCTCTCTGGTTTAATCACTTTGAAATTGTTTAATCTTTGACTCTGGCTTCCATACAAGATGCATAATAAAAGTGTTTGAAATTTTACATGCTGAAAACCACTTTTCATTTATGTCTTATAATTGGTTTGCAGAAAGATGGGCTATGGTAGTGTGGTAAATGTAACCAAGATAAAATGCCATCAGGAATCACTCTTGACATTTGTTTCAGAAACTCAATCACTATGAGCTGCAACTCATTCTCGGAAGCAAATCAGCAATGCCTGTTATTGTTTCATAATCGTCCTCAAAAGAGAATCAGTATAATAATTTCTACCACAATTACCTCATTTCTTTATAACAGGCAACAAAAAAGCCATCAGAATGGATTAACTTTGCAAAAAAATCCCATTTTGCGTCCAGAAGGAAATGAAATACAAACTACCTCCATGCAGCTACTTGAGTTGGCAAAGGACAAGGAAACCATTCAGAAGATATTCAAAATGTTTTTAAATGTCAGACACATCCTACAGGAGCATTAAGGTGGCCTTAAAACATGGGAGACTTCTTTTTGAAAAGCACATCAGACTCCTGGTTGTATACACAGCTGTCCTGTCTAAATGTCTCGTCAGGGCTATGTATCACATTCAGAGCTTGAGGAGCTCTTTCTAATTCAAGGCTAGTAAAAAATAATTTTTTGCCCTGCAAAATGTAAGCAACTTTGTATAACATTGAAAATTATTCCATTAATCTTTGGTTCCAGATGCTTCAATTAACACAATAACTTAAATCCCACTATTTCAATGTGACTGCAGATTTGGAATATTAGTTCTTATTCCTTTCATGACGTTAACTGTGAAGTAATAAAAAGCAATCTTTCACTTACCCTAATTTCCTTTCTTTTTTTTTTTTCTTCCAGCTTGGCCTGCTTCTGTCACTGTTTACACTACATCAGACATCTTCTGGAGACATTATTTGTTCACAAGTTTTCGGAAGGGCACACTCCTCTGAAAAATATGATAAAGGTACCAATATGTTTATCATTTTGTGTAAGAGAGAATATTGTCATATCAAAGAGTCCTTGGAAGGAGATAGGGAAATAAACATTTATTTTGTAGCTCCAAGAACTATGTTTAGTCTAAATACAGACACAGGAAAATTTCAGGGCCATGTCCCTAAGGACATGAATTAAAATTAATGTCCGCTTTAGTTCCTGCATGTCAATGTCCACTTTGACTCATCCACCCAAGGGGCTGACTGTCATGTCCAGGATAATTTTGAGACTGAATCCTATTTTATTATGAGAGCTGCTGCTGCAACATCTAGCAATGTTGATAGAAATCACGCACTACTACCTCTGTGCAACATAAATACAGAGAGAGAGACAGACCTTGCATTAGGAAGCGAAAATCAAATTACAAGTAGAAAAAAAAAAATTCTCCTTCTATAGATGGAGGCCTCAGGCAGGACAATACTGAGCTGGCCTAGTCTTTTGTCTCCCAAAGCCTCCCGAATGTCCACTGTGTGTCATTACTCATACGATTTCCTTTCTTTTATCTCACAAACTCTATCTCGGTCACTTTGTATTACGCCCCCACCCCATTCAATGTGACTTAAAGACCTTCCTTTTAAATGTTTTGAATACATTTAGGGTTTTAGTAAAGGAAATAAACATATGGCCATGATAAGAGGCTTGACTCAATTCCAGTCAGAAAGGAGCTAATGAGATGCACATATAGAGATGTATAAGCTAAATAAGCCAAATGGCTTTGGAACCAGAGTGACTCATGCACGTGGGAGTTAAAGACCCACAGTTACTGTTATCCCATTGTGTACCACAGTGACATTGCATAAAAAGATTAAAAAGAGAAAGCCTGACTTGCAGCCCTATTTATGGCATGAAACTGCATCCAGTCCCTGCACACTGTTCTTCTTCAACAGCTACTGAGCACAGGATCCTTAACTTAGACACACAGAAAAGTTTTATCCAGTCTCCAGGGTGGCTTTGGTTGTTTGGCTGGTGGATTTTGGTTTACTCTTGCAGAAAGGATGGGAGCAGTGACTCCTACACAGATCAAGAACATAATCACATTATCTCTGCTTGGGCTTTACTAAGCCCATGACTTCAGTCACCTAGCAAAGGCAGTTGGGGTGCTGTTTTTCAGCAAGATGATAAAATGGGGTGCAATTTATGGGAGTAGATGTAGTGTGTAGGCCAAATATGTTTATAGGAAGGATGTTCCTTATTTTTTTGACAGGGTTAAAGCAAGCTTATTCACTTTTACTCCTTATTGTTTTGTCTGGTTTAGCATTCTGTTTGTCTAGCTCTATCTTGCTTGGAAATGCTGAATTTAAGGTACAGTAACAGCTCCGCTCTGTTAACCAGCCCCAGACTTTTAATAGTACAACTTAGAGAAATGTGCTCTTCAGCAGTAGAATCAAAGAATGAGAAAACAAACCCCAATTCCTACAACAGACATAAAACACATTTAACACAATAATAATAATAATAAAAATCTATGTTGTGTCCTTTTTTTCCTTTTCCCCTAGCTTCACAGCATCTTAAAAAAGATATATATTCTGAGACTCACAAAGCCACTGCAAAGTCTTTCAATGGTCACCTGGGTTTTGTACTTACCGGAATTTATGTTTATAAAGTTACAGTTTGTACTTGCTTATTGCCCTTTCAAAAAGATTATCTTTTTTTGTCTCTTCCAGGGCTGTGCCTTTTACTGGGGATTCACATCCTGGATCGCCTACTACATCAACCACCCATGGTATACTCCACCATGTATGTATGAGTAGAACACAAATTTGACCTTGGTTTTAAAAAGTTTTTGGCATGTAACCTCAAGTCCTCCAAAATCAATAGATGGTCCCACATGAGATCATATGACTAATCTATCAGAAAATAGCCTTTACACCCTGTCAGAAGGAAGATTCTTATGTTGGAGGCACCTCTGCTTGTGCCACCAAATGTATGTGCCTGTTCAACAATGGGCAATCACTGTCCAGTTTTATCAACTGGAAACATTGGCCAAGTGGAGGAAACATTGGCCAAGTGGAGAAAACACAAAAATTTTGCTCCTCTTCACAACATTTGTATTAAGAATACTGGAGAAAACTAGAACTGTCTGCATTTTCTTGGAGGAGATATTTATTTGCTAAAGATACATCCTTTTCATGATTTTTTTTTTTTTTTGTGAGAAATCAGAAAAAATCCATCCCATACCGCTGATAACAAAAAGATCCTGGTTTTTGAACTTTCAGGTTTCATTCATCATTTTGTTCCCTGTAATCATATTTGATTGTTGCACTACTGTATCTTCATGACTTTTTTTTTTTTACTCTTTGAGCCTTTGCTTCTTTCGAGCATTATTTGCTTTGGTTTTATTTTCTGCTGTTTTACTTCCCTTGCTACACTGTAGTCTTTCTTTTCCTTTGTATATTAGATTTATCTATGAGCTTTGGGAACAAAGCAGTTGCTTTGTCATTTTTATTTACACTCAGGTACATTGCTAAGTTTTCTCAATAAAAAAATTTTCTTACATGACACTTGCTTTTCTTTCAAAACAGCACAGAAGTTCTGTTTCAAAACTATGTGATTCATTGAAAGACAGTTGAATTTGCTGTGGCTTTAACAACAAAGCTGCAGACAATATAGAAAACTCCCTAGACACAGTTTTTAGCGGTCTGGGCTATCAAATCAGTAGGTGCAGCTTCTTTATTGAGGAAATCATTTGTTCAAAATATAGAAGAGAAAGCTTTTAGAAGAAATATTTCCAATTGCTTACCACTGCCTTAAAATGACAGTTATAGGTATTTGGGTCTAATGATGGAGATCACCAGCCCTCTGACATGGTTAGTGGAATCAGTAAAATACTGATGGTTTATTTTGGACACAGGAACAGGTAACCTCCACAGCCCTTTCCAGCAATGACTGGTCTCGAGTCCAGCAAGGAAAGGCAAGATAGTTGCAGAATTTACCACAAGAGTGGTAAGTTAAGCCAGGCTGACAAAGGGCCTATGAAGAACATCTGTTTAGCAGCTGCATGCTCACAAGTTGACATGTGCTGGTGATTCCAAGGACACCTTTTAGCACATGCCCTTGGCATCACTGAGGAGTCATGTGCCAGCCAGAAAAAAAAGGTTCTCAAAAGTAAAGGCTTGATGAGACTTGGTCAGGGAGATGAGGTATATACATATGGTTTGTGTCCATCATCTGTGAGCAAGGTTTACTTGAGAAATGCAGACCTTTGGAGATGAACATGATAGAGCCCTACACTGGTCTGGGGACAACAGCAAAGAGGAGAAGGCAGGTAAACGACAGATAAAATTTACAAAGGCTAAATATATTTCTTGTGTGGTGAGACTGAAGCATACTGTAGCTATGTAGTAATTCTCACTATTGACTCACTACTTAAAAAAAAAAAAGGTAGTGGATAATGTAGGGATAGGTACAATTTTGGAAGAATTTGTGACAGAAAGTTAGAACTCGATTTCGCTTAGGAAGACTGTAAAATGCCTTCTCAAACAGGTTAGATGGTTTTTACTTCCTTCCTTCTGCATTTCAGAGAAAGCTGCAGGGAGAAGCTGTGACCAAGTTATCTATCTCCCTTGTATGCCGAGTGATAACAAGTTTGCAGACATGTACAAGGCCTCCTCTGGCCACAGAGGGTGGGGAAGGAGAGAGAAAAGATACAAAAAGCATTGGAGAAGGGAGGGCATTGCCTTTTTTCCCCTGGGGGCCAGGTATGTGCAGCATCATTAAAAAGTCGTCCTTCCATTTGAAATAAATCTTTTTTTTTTTTTTAATAATACCACTGCCTTGGCATTCTTGGGAAAAATAACTGCGTATGTTTTAGCTTACAGATAGTTTATGTATTGGGTTCTCTGATCATGGGGTAGAAAGGCCTATGGATAAGGCTGTGATTCTTGGCCTGGTTCTGCCACTGACCTTTACTTCTCTTTACTCTTTTTGCCTTTTCAATTTACCACCACCAGCTGCTTTGACAAAACAATTGGATAGATGAAGATGGCAAATAAGTAAAAAACATTAGGTGAAACCTGACTTGAGATCAGTGGTGAAGAGACTGGTATTTCTAGAGTGCTGTTACTATTTGTATTGTCTTCATATTGTGTGATAATATCCAATCTTTCTGCAGAGCCTGTCAGGAAAGAAGTATTTCTGCTCCTCAGCACTAGATTAATTTCACCCATAGCAAACCATGTGCATACTTTAAAATGCAATTTATCATTTCATTCTGTTTTCTAGCATTTGGCCACAGACAAGTTTCTTATGCTGCCCTTGCTTTTCTGGTACGTACAAAAATGAAGTTTTATTAATGACTGTGGAAAAGGAGTAAATCACAATTTAGTAATATGCAGTACTGCTGTTATGCATCTGTGTATATACATATATGTATATATGACCATGCCCACAGCCCCATTCCTTTGATGGGATTTAGGTTTCACAGGTTTCTCAGTCAGGACGTCTTCTGCTACTACTTATGTATACAGAGGTTAATGTGAAGTACTGTATCTGAGAGCCATGAGGACATCGTCAGCGTTATTACTACTGATAATTGTAATTGTGTTAAAACACAATTATTTAGGTAGATTGAAACTTATGATTTTGAAAACATTGAAGAATTACATCCTAAACAGGCTTTGCAATAGTTCACTGTACCCTGAATAACTTCACCTCATCAGCTAAACAACAAAAAACAATAAAAACAATCTCTGCCAAAGTGGCTTAAGCCAAGGGAAAGTGCAGCTGACGAAGGACGGCTGAGACTGATGTTTGAATGAACGTAATTGCACAGTGAGACAGAAGCTTAGTCACTTCTCACATGGAAATGTAAATTCTTCCTGTCCTCTGAGGGCACTTTACTTGGAACTGCTGGGTGGTGACTTACCCAAGCAAGCACGGGTTAGTATCCAAAACAGTCAGCTTCTTTGAAAGTCAGATACAGATCAGTTTCCAGAAGTAAAACAGGAAGATGGGACATTAACAAGTCTAGGCTCTTTCAGGCAAACACTACTCAGAAAAGCATTCAAAAACTCCTTTAGAAATATTGAAATGCTTTTGTAAATTGGGACCCTTAAAGATCACAATTTTGGCAGTGTTTTTTTCTGGGGCTGGCCATGCAGTTCTCAGCTTTTCAAACCCTAATAAGGTATAGCAAAGACAAGCAAGATACTCATACGAAGAAGTTCACATGCTCCATGAGGCTCTACAGCTGAAAACAATAACCCAGTACTTCAGGGACAGGAGGTTGTGGCAGTGGTGGGCAGTAGTGTGCCCAGAACCTTGCTCTCTGTGCTCTTCCCAAGCTCAGGGGTTGTTTGAAAACAAGAAAACTGCTGAATATCCAGTGCTACCAGAAAAACTCGTCCTCGTCAAAGTGTCTATGTAGAAAGAGACTCCTTTTCTATTGAAACATCCTTCCTTGCATCAATGTAACATGCCCTGCTATAGCTTTTAGGGAAATTGCTGCCATTAAGCAAAGGGATGAGTCCTGTCAGGGTTGTTTGATATAAAATATGACAATCCCCTTCAGATCTGCATCAGCACCTGGTCTGTGGTCTCAGTTCTTACAGTTCTTTTGAGAACTCCCTACCCATGGAAACTCAAAGCCTTTCCCTTTCTGGGAATCTGTGCTGGCAGATTCCCAGACAATGATTTTAAAACACCAACAAACAAAATAAAATAATTCAAAGCTGTTTTCACAGGTTTCTAAAACATATGAATAAAATATTTGGAAGATTTCTTTTTCTTACCCTCTTTTCAACCTTGTGTTTATTACATACACTGATTTAAGTGTATACATCTGCAGCTGCCGCAAACAACAGTACTGAGTAATATAAAGAGTGTCTGCAGGCCCTTCTGAAAGGTTGTCATATTTAGAGAAATTAGTCTAAGCTTTGCAGGGATGTTTTTCTTATGGGGTGCACATGGAATATAAAAAGTGTATATGTGGACTTCAATATTTTATAATTGTAAATATGGTAAGTTTTTCTGTTGATGTTCCCCACTGCCCTATATTTTATATCTGAGACACTAAGGACATTTAGCACTACTTCTCAATGTAGAACATTAACAGTCACACTTCTAGAGAGGGACATAAGAGTTAATTACAGCAGAAAGCAGCTGCAGAGTCAAAGGTAAGCCAATAAAAAGCCCTGCAGAAACGCCCTTTGCTTGTTTTACTTAGAATTGATTATAGAATTAGTAGGGGTTAACTTCAGTGTGTGAATATCTCCTGTTCCACAACAGTATGGGCATCGTACGTTTCAGTACGTATAGTGTTTCACAAAACCACTTTTAACTACAAAACCTTTTTCTTTGAAATAATAGTAATCAAAAAAAAAATCATGTTCCTAGCTGATAATGAGAAGTATGTAAATTAAAATTACTTCTATTGCTATGGCTAGAGTTATAGCTTTGGATATGGTATTTTATAATAGAATTTCCTTTTCTGGCTATTTATTGTTTTGCATCTGGTAGTTATAATAGATGACCATCAGGTAGTTGTAATTAAAAAAACATAAAAGAACAGCAAGATTTGAACCATAACTACCTATCCATGCAGAATAACAGTTTTGCTAATAGACCTGATTAAAACTTTCCAAATAAACCCCACAAAAACCTCTGTCTAAAGGGGGAAAATTTTTCAGCAATGCTATCTACAATGTTCTTTCAGATAACGGTACATTTCAATATAAAATGAAGTTACATATTCTTTCAATTACTTTTAATTTAGCTTTCAATTTAGCTTTACTTAGTTTTGCAATTCAGTTTTAAAGTTTAAAGGTTGTTTTTTTTTTGTATTAATTTTTGGACTTTATCCTTTTAACGTCTCTAGATTTTAACATTTTTCTTTTTATTTGATTTCTTAAACTTTTTCCAGCCTTGTAAAATTTAGAATGTCAAATGATATAAGAAAACAGAACTTTTTAACAGTGCATTTTTTTCAACTGGAGAGGACAAATCACTCTTCAAACCTAGAAATGAATGAGAAAGTTCAATTCAGTCCGAAATGTATGCAGCATTTTGATTTTCTTCGTAGAGCAAGGGAAAAATGAAACATATAAAATTACATAGTTGTGCTGGCAGGTCTTCTTTTTCAGGAATTGAAACTGGTTTTCCTACCAGCTCCTACTTTAAATATGGGTAAATATTGGGTTTGATTCTTCAGGAGTTGTAACTGAGGAAGTACTGAAAGCCTCAAGAAAATCTGAAATCATCAACTACAACAAGCTGTAAAACCAAATGGGGAGACACGATGCCTCTTCCAAAGATTTAAAATGTTTAAATATTAATGACCAAGCTTGAGAGGTCGGTTAGGGCTGAAAACGTAAGAGCCAGAGAGCTGCAGAACCAGGAATTATACTGGCTCTGTTCATTTATCAATTCCTGACTACTATCCATTCCACCAGTCTGCCCTTCAGAGAACCACTGCCTTTTTCTTCACCCTATTTTTTCCTTCGTGTTATGCTGAACACCTTTGAAAGTGTGTGTAGGAGGAGTATAGGCACCTTACTCACAAAGGTAAGGTGCCTTTACTCTTCGCAAAGCCAGTGCTTTTCACCTGCTTCTTTGCAGCCTGGATTAAATCCAAAATAAATCAAGAAAAGCATCTCGCTGAATTCCTTAGACCCAGAGAGTCTCCCTGGTCTCCCCAGAGCAAAGCATGTGGCACATGCTGAAGGCCTGCCTGGACCGAGCTCTGCAGTGGCTGAACCAGAGGCTTTCACCCCAGGCTGCACCCACGGTGCTCATTAGACCGTGTGTGTTTCACAAAGATCACGGGCTGCATTTCAGAGTACATATTTTCTGCACACAGAGACTTGAGTTGTAGTGGGGGGATTCTGCTTATGCACTGCAAAACACAGTTACCGCAGCATTTTAGGCATACAACTGAAAACATGTTTTTAATGTCTTGCAGATGTGTGAAGCTGGAAATCACTTTATCAACGTAGCTTTAGCTCACCAAACTAATTCAGGTCTGTCTTTCTTTCCTGTTTGTCTATTTAAGACTGAAGTGTGCTGAACCTATCCATCTTCTGCTGGTGTACAGTAATTTATGTACCTACATCCACAGATTAAAGAAAGATGAAGTAGGTACCATGCTATCAGTCTAACATCTTCAAAACAAATGTGGTGACAAGAAAACATTAGCAACACTGCTGTTGTTCCAAAGCTTATAGTAAATCTATCTTAATTAAACACAACTGCAATTTAAATACGTATTTAAGCACATTTCTTTAAAGCATACTGGTGACTGATAGCAGATTCCATTTTAAATAAGTCTCAAAAACTTTTGAACTGTATTGCAGAGTTTTTGGATACATGCATCTCAGGCAAAGATACACACACATATATACAAATACACAAAGAGACACTCATGAATACCTGCACAGGCATCAATGTACACTTATGCTCTTAAAAGGCTGCTCCTTAAAAGGGTTTTCAGGACCTTTTGTATCATGAGAATAGAAGTTATACTATGTATACTGACAAGTAAAATATAGTTTCAGACATTAATAGTATAATTTTCCACTACAACACCCTATTCAAGAAACTACTTTACCACAGTGTGATCAGCTTCACACACAGAAGTCAGTTTCTATTCTGGAAGGCTTTTCCTGCACTGTGATTAGACAGGTGCTTATATTGTTTGGTGCAAGGGGCCTAATTCAGTTTAAAAGCAGCAGGAGCCAAATAATTTAATTACATTCTCAGTGCCTACAAGTATTAAAGATAGCATTGTTGCCAGCACTTAAAAATATCGATAATAGATAATTTCTGCAGTTCTTTTCTTGCTTTTTTTCATACGGTAATGCTAGTCCTTGATGAGAAATCACTGAGAGATATTTCCTAACAGAAAATCTTTCAATTCCAACTTCAGAATAATTAATTATTTTTACCTGCTCACCAGTCCAAGACAGCAAGGAAAGGGGAAAAAAACCAACCAAACATAAAAACCCACAACAAAACAAACCAAGCAAAAAAACCCCAACCAACCCCACATGTTTACAAGATCACTGAATTTGTGTTATATATTAAATAACTAAAATATAAAGTATACACTATGATCTTTTTGTGTGAGCCTTATCAGTGAGGGTAATCCTGTTAGCCCTGGACTTTTTTTCCTATTCTAACCAGAGATGTAGAGTGAGGATGTGGGAGCAGACAGGTTCACATTCCTGAACCAGGCTGAATAAGATACAGCTGCATCCTTTATATCCCAGTAGAGTACCCTTAGTCCTCACCTGCTAGCTAGTACACATTAAACTACTTGTCTCTCTCTTCCTCTGAACAGAAGTTGCATCCTCTGGACATGCCAGACTTTCTTGTAAAAACTGATGCAAGGTTCGCTAAGCAGCATTCTCACTGGGATACATACAGCTTTCGCTATCTCCAAAGACTTCACCAAAACTTTTCTAAAAAGTTGTACTCTGAGAGCATTGGCCAAGGGGATGGCTGTTACATAGGCAAGCTGTGATAAGGCTCAGTTCATCCCTCCCTGTATTGAAACTGGCTCTGTCTGATTTTTTCCCTGCTCCTTTTTTTTTTTTCTTTTCATAAGGAAATAAAACCTGTTTTCCAAGTCCAACTTACAACCCCTTCACATGGCTCTTCCTGCTGGTATCCTGTCCCAACTATACATATGAGGTACATGACTTTCTTCTGCTTATATGCAAAGGGTAGGTGGTTACTGTGCTTCAGCCTTTGTCTCCAGAAATCTGCAACACCTCCACGCAGATCCCTCTGCACATCAATCATGGTGTTCTGTATGTCAGAGTCTCCTTGCTCACACAAATATTTCTCCACCAGACCCTTCTCTTCCCTCATGTCACTATTACGGCTCTTGTTTTTATTTCCCTCCACTACAGACTCCCCAGTGATCCAAGGATTTACTACCCACCTCTTCACCCCATCCAGTACACTGGGGGGGGGTCATTTCTAGCTATTTTCCATCTCCCATTTCCAGTACAAGTACCACACTCTTTTTCTGGGGATAGCTTTTGAAAACTTACCGTTTCGCTTTACATAAATATACAACTTACAGTGCTTTTTTTCTTTGCAACAGGCTGGGTCTTGGATTAGTTTCACAGTGATGACACAAACTCTGCCAGGTAAGTTTGAAACAGAATGAAGACAGCATCTAAAGTGTTTGTGGAAGTGAATTCTGGAAATCTAAAATTTGCCAAAAAAAATTTATAGCGTATGAAATATTGCCATCAAATTCCTCTTGTGAGATATCTGTGTAAATCTTCAAAGTGCTACCCTCAGAAAGCTGTGGAGAACGTGAACACCACTGCAACACCTTATTTGATCAGAACCAGCTCTCTGCTTTTTGTGACATATTACTGTTTTTTCCATTTCCAGAGTGAAAGCAGATTTTGAAGTTTAGAAAAACAATAAGTCAGTATTCTTCATTTACAGTCAATCATTTTCGATATAGGAAAATTTTTTTGCATTGTAAACCTGGAATAATACTTCTAACAGGGAAAAAAAACCCCATGCACTTAGTATTTCAAAAAGAGGAAAGACAACATATTCTTGGTAGCATTTCCCTGTTTACTTGTATTAGGTAGCCAGCTCGTAACTGCAGGCAGCTTAGTAGCATTTGTGACTCTTGTTCAGTACTTTCCTGCATCCTTAGAGACCTAAATACTCATAAAAATATGGTTCCTGGAACTAAGCTTTCTAAACCAGTCACTTTTTAATTATTTTTCCATTTCAAAATAGAAACCTATAAAAACTACTTGCAAAAAGTAGCCCCACATGGTTTATAAATGAAAAAGCAATGAATTTCAAAAGTGGGTTAAACTATATCATGCAAAGATTAAACTTTAAATTTTGTGTGAAAAGATGAAACATTTTTGTGCTTTAGGCTCTGATATGGAAATTATCTGAAAGTCTGGGGACATTGTAGGGCTGTCCCTACAGTGGCAGGAGCAGTAACATATGAAGCACTCTCATCCTTGCTGTAATTGTCCCAGACATAACTCAAGCAGATGCCAAATGAATGTTTCTGATTCACCATCTCATTTAAAGGAAGAAAGGATAATGAATTTGCAAAATGCAGCAGTAGAATCATCCCCCATTTGGTGCCACTCAGCCTGAAGGGAGAGGTACCTAAGATCCACTTACTGGCTCCTGACAAGCACAGTAGGGTCTTGGGAAGTCTGTAGATTTTGGGCTTTTTGAGACCTTACTGCCAGGCAGCTAAATCAGGCAGCTACTGCCTACTTGCTCCAAGGCCGAGCTCTCCCTCCACACAGCAGGAAGTTACAGCACAGCTCCCTGTTATGGTTGAGAGCCAGAGGTAAAAACAAAGAAGTGTTATGGTCCAAAACCAAACCAGAAAGATAGTTGAGAGAGGCCGTGGGTAATTCTATGCTGAGATGGCACCATGGCCAAGGAGGCCTTGTGAGTTATGGTGCAGTTGTAGGTGATACATGGTGTGTCTAACAGATGTGAACATCATCTGTGTGAATTCTCATGCTGAAGATGAGCCTCAGGCTATGGTATATGAGCAACTGCAAAGCTGAGAGCAAGGACAGAGTTGTCTCTGCCCACAGAAGAGACTGCAAACATTTCCATAAACCCTATTGCATTCACAGAAACAGACATGGAAAGAAGACACATGATCCTTTTCTTTAAATCTTCTTCCTTGGTAGTTGGCATTTTTGCTTTCCTGATGGTCATCCAGATGTCTCTCTGGGCCCAAAAGAAACACAAGCTGTATCTGAAGAGATTTTATCCAGAAGTGCGGAGAAAAGCAGCTATGATTCCTATCATCTTCTGAGATCTTCATAAGAGTTGGAGTCCAAGTGTACAGTTCAAGAGCCAACTCAGAGCCATTTCATTGAGTAACCAAGTGGATCAGAGGAAGAACTACTGGATATCTTTTTCAGAAAATTAACAATTCACGACAAAGAGCTTTTAATTAAGTGCAAAAATACAGCTCTTGAATTCTTGGTTCCTGCTAAAAGATATGATTTAATTAGATTTTCTGTAATGGAGCTAATTGGAAAGGGACAAGAAAACTGCTTATATTGAATGTTAGATATTTAGCTGGTGTAAGTGGGCACAGATGCTGTTGCAATTAATGAACACGACTCATCTGCATGCATTCAGGTCTGGTAATTTTAAGGTTCAGAGTTATATGTTGACAAGAGTCTTGGATTTTTGCATTAGAAGATGTTTCACAGCCTTATTTCTATTAAACTGCACAAAATCAGCACATTCTGCCTCAGCTCCTCTAAACCATCACATCAAAGGGTGACCGCTTTGCTGTGAACACCATTTAGTCTAGCTTCACAAGGTTTTTCTTTCTTTTCTCTCTTTTCTTAATCAAATTTCATATCAAATTGTTCAATACAAATTGGCTTAAATTGGTCACTGCAAAGAGGTCTAGCTTTCTTTTCTTTTCTTTTCAGATAGGCAGATCAGCTCCACAATCTCAGAAGGGCACTGTTTGTGAGGTGCTTCCCATTTTGCTACTAATTTGAGGCATGACCTTGGGTACATCATTTAAGTCTATCTCCCTTTCCCATTGAACAGCCTGGAAATAGCAGAAGACTTTCTGCACTAACAAGCATTATAAGATCCCCTTGTTCAGTGCCCGACTGCGTCCAGACACCATTCACCTTACTTGTATCAGGTACTGTGAAATCTATGGGCACAAGGTGAACCAAAGTACAGCTTGTTATCAAAAAGGAAAGAGATCCTGCCACATGCATTTCTTTCCATGTTTGAACTGCCTCAGATGGACACTGCTGAAAGGCTTCAGCTCCCCTTAAGTTTGGTCAGGCTCTATCTTTGCTTTCCAGGACATTATTTCTAAGGGATTCTCTGGGCTTGTATTCAATTCCTGAAAACACTATGTAGCTCCATTTGCAAATCAGTGGCATCCGTGTCATGCAGAAGCACAATTTTAGTTACACAGAGCAGAAAAACCAGAGCTGCTTCAGCAGGTATTAAGATATGGAGAGTTAGGGCATTAAGTCCTTTTTTTCATTCTATTTCTGTTGCACATTTATCAATGTCTTTTGGCTCCCTCAGGCTGGTGAAAAAGCTTGCCTAAAGAACTTTATAATCATTAGAGAAACACTGTAGAGTACACAGGTAAGGCAGGCAGTTTGTCTCCTAAAGGCGCCATTATCTTTGCACCAGCTCAGGTGTTCTGACAAAGTTAATTTGCCCAGTAAATTGGGTTCATATCCCTCTTTTAATGTCTAACTTGCAACACTTATCCTATTAGCCACTGTAACTCGATTTCATCTTTGTAATGTAAATAGATCACTTTCCATATTTTTAAACTTGTATCCTGTGAACACCTAAAATTTTTATTCCTCTCAACGGAAAACCCTAATCAAAGTGAATATCCACTTCTCTAACCCAGAGTGCTAATAAAGATCTATTTTTGAAAAATTATTTTCTGTACTCTATAATCACATACTTAACAACAATATTTTTAAAACTTTTTTTCCAGACAGTGTTAGATGCTTGAGTCAAGACTGTTGTCTGTTTTTTTTAATGAAGCTACTGGGGATTCTTTTAATTTCACATTTATGAAATGTCTCATTTTATCAATCTTCAAAATTAAAATAGTCCATGTGGGAGGGCAACTTACCAAAATTAGTTACTTATCTTTTGATTGCAATGGCTGCAGCTTTAAGTCTGTTCAAAGCATGTTTCCAGTGTGATTCTGATGGCTAGGAATATGGTTCCTACAGTTAGCTTAGGCAAAGGAAGTACTTCAGGAATTGTTCACCCTGTTCATTAGTTGGTTGTTCAGTACATGGGGTGGGTAGGAGAAGGGTTTTGGCTCTTGTAGTAAATGACTGAAATTTTAAAGTAAGGTAAAAAGTAAAGTAAAGAGTGAGAGCAAACGCTAAGTAAGAACAAGTGAAGATGAGCTGCAGAAGGCTGTCTCAGATACACATGATATTTTGAGATTTATCAGTGTGGGGTTGATGAGCTAAAACTGTTCTGAACAGGGTTAAATGGCTTCACAAGTGGCAATAAATCTAACTTCTTGCACCTTCACAAATCTTTTTCTATTACACTGCCTTCTCTGATTTTCAGGGCAAGTTTCACGTGATTAGAACAGGTAAGTTAACTTCCTGGCATGGGGGGCATGTTCAGCTTTAAAAGTATATAAAAATGGTGGGTCTTTGTTTTGCTAAACCCATTGGATGCCTTGCTTTTACAAAAAACCCAAAACACAAAAGGCACAGGCAAAGCAAAAAAAGAAAAAAAAGGCAAAAAAATAAGTATTACTATATAAAAACCTACGATGAACAGTGATTTAAGTCCACGAGCACCATGCACCTTTTGAATGAAAACAATTGTCCTCACACAAACTTTTTCATGAGAAAGTTTGTCATAATTGTGCTGATCACCTGGGAAGAATGCCTTATTAAGCTCTCTCTATACTGGTATTTCTTGTATTAGGAGTTGATGAGGAAGTAAATGGTCAACTGCAAATTCCTTTGGCTGTATTTCCTCTTAAGCACAGACCTACCTTTTTCAGAGCCTTCAGTAGAAGGTAGGCATGGGTAAGGCCACCCCCCTGCCAGAATGCTGCCATGTTTCAAGGTTAGAGGGAAGGAGTCAACTTCCAATATGGGCCATCAGATGCAACTCAGTACTTTTCATGTGAAGCTGCTTCTAAGGCATTGAGAAGGATGGCACCACTCTGGTGAACTGAAGGCATTGGTGTCCGTGGAGAAGGGAAAATAATCAGGACAATGTGAATTATATTTTGAAATACTGCTTCTCCATGAGGGCCATGAAATCCACTACTTACAACAAAACCTGATTTGTCCCTTTGAGCTAAATCCCTTTCTGATGCTGCTTTCCTCAGTTTTTGTATTCGGAAAGCTGACTGACCACAGGGCAGCGAATCCACTCCCTATGGTGCCCTACTCTTGCTGTTGCTCCCAGGGCAGTGTGAGCTGCCCTGTGGCTTCTGTCAGGACCAAAGCTTTCCTAACTCCTTGTAGAGGCAAATTACAGCATTTCTCATGAAAGGCAGGAGGCAGCAACACTGTACAGCAGAACAATCGAGTGGCTGAAGTTGGAGACACATTCTGGTATCTGTGAGGAGCTGTACTGTCCCATGTATTGGAGCAATTCCTGCTTAACAGTCCTCAGGAGCTAAGCCATCTAAGCCAAGAAACCACAAATAAAGCAAGATACAGATATTTTGTGGCTACTAGGCAACAGTTTTGTCAGGAACTGTGTAAAAATAAATCAGATGGAGTATGAACAGATCTTTCTTGGCCTGCCCAATAAGGGCTGTGTGAATGGCATTGTTCAGCCAGTGGGTTCAAAGCATATTCCAAAATAATCACTCCCAGTCCACCTGGAGAGACTGCCCAATATCCAGGTCCCTCCATGTCAGGTCACCCTGCAGCTTACAGCTGTGTTTCTGCTGTGACCCTCCAGATGGGCGAGTCTCATCTTTCCCAAATTATTCCCAAGACTTTCAAATTCAGGAGCCTGAAGCTGAGCCTAAATTTAAGCCTTCAGATATACACACTTGGATATTTGTGGCTAGCTCTTGCCATGAAATGCCAACCTAGAAAAGAGCAGGCACCAGCTCAGGATTCCTGGTGGTGCAGGGAGGCGTTGTGATGGGGAACCGAGGTGGCAGATGCTTCTGTACACAACTTGGCAGCCTATATTTGGATTCCCAGTTTGAAAAAGCCCTTAAGACCCAGCCATATGTTTATCTTATAAGATGGTTACCATACCCTCGCAGCTGACAGGTCTGAAAATGATCTCAGTGATTTTGTCTTTCCATAGGGAAAGGGGAGCTTGAAAGGACACTGAAAGCAGGAGAAGTGAATAAAGGCAGATGGTCATCATTTTTTTTAAAGATGCTATTATCACCAAAATATCTTGTATTTTCCATTGTTTTGTATAAAATAAGTGACTCTAAATTGGCTTTTATCACACTAGGAACTGAGATAAAACAGCCTGCTATCAAAGTAGTTCTTTGAAAGAGAGCTTGCAGTGATAGCTACATATAATAAAATAAAAATCACTGAATGTGAAGATTTCTAAAGCTCACTATAAGAAGAAAAAAGCTATAGGAAAGCAAGAGAATATTTATCTATTTATAGTTTTAACAAGTGCCGCTGAGCTAAAAATTAATTCAAACCATAAAGAGCTTTCCAGCAAGCTAATATTTTTCACATGATGCTTTATTGGCTTTCCTTTTCCATATTTTCCTAGGCACAAGTTTTGTCTACAAGTGATATTCCCTGTCATTAACATTCATGGAAGCTCTTAGAGAAACAACTGTATGCCTATCCCAGTGTTCGATAAATAAATGTAGACGAAGCATTGTGCTGTCATTGAACACAGATTGGTATCTATATGAACCATATTTTTTCATGAAAGGCCTGGTTTATCATAGGTGAGTGCACAGAGGCTGCCGTATAGCTACAATTTAAGGGGCTTCTCACATCACACATGTTTAGCATCACAGAATAATGTTGATTTTAATGGTCTCTGCACATCTTCAGCCGTCTGCAACTCAAACCTAAATTCTTTCTGTGGATACCAGAACCAAGAGCCAAGCTGTCCCACAGTTGGTCCTGGTTGTGGTCCTGGTGTTTGGTTATTCATTTGTCTGGCACACCAGAGACTGGCTCTCACCTGGCTCTGCCCTGTGAGGACATCTGAGAAAACATTCATTTTTCCCTCTTGTCTGACTGGACATACAGTTGTCCAGATGAGGATCGTTGTTCACTGTGAGACTGAAATAATCCGTATTGAATCTCCTTGGAATGTACTAGTCAATCTAACACCTCCTTATAAAAAGAAAAGTTAATGGCTTCTGTAATATGTGTGCTTAGATTAAAAAAAATCTACCACAAAGTAACACCTCCCAGGCTTCTATCCAGGCTTCTAACATGTACCTGCTTTTATCTAACTTCTAAAGCCTTTGAAGACTGAGGAACCAAGTATGAGGAAATCATTTACAGGTAAAAGAAATGTGTAAGAGTATTTAATAATACTAATGAATTCTATGTATAAAAAAGCAAAACACTTCTTTTGTCAAAGAAATCTGATTGTTAGTCAGTTTCTTCCTAATACACAGTATTCTTCCTGTGAAAAAGTAATATATCTCTACCAGTGATCCCTTTCATTGTTTCAAGTACCTGGCCATACTCAATGGGAAAAGGCTTTTGCTTCAAAATGACAAGTTCCACCATTTGGGGGCTCTTTTAAAGCACTACAGGACAGGCTCCAGAGAAAACAGACCACATCAATCATTTTCTTCCTCTTATTCATACTGAAAAGTTTATGAGTTTTCAGTTGGCTGGTGAAACTGTGACACTGCTACAAAGCAAACAAATATTTAAAAAGGTGCCCCTCTCCTCAAGACAAGAACAGAAATAAAAGGTACTTTTTATCTTTTCTACTAATAATATGAGGCCATTTCCAAGGTTCAAGGGCATCCATGCAGAAGGAAACATTGATTAGAAATCTGGAAGAACAAGACTGTGGTTGCAGTGTGCTTTTAGGGATTAGCAGCTATGTCTTTTTGAAAGAAATTTCACTCTTTCTGACAACCAAGCTTGAAAGAAATGGATTAAAGATGACACATCTCCAATATCGCATCTAATGAAAAACAAAGTACCTATTCTTGAACCAAGAGGGAATATTTGTCATATATACAAACACTGTATTCTTCCACCTTCTGGTTTACATCATCTCTTTGCAGAAGGTGCTTTGAACTGGACTTGTAAGCCTTTCATTCAAACTTGTAATTATTTACCTGTTAGAGCTTTGATATACACAGCTATGTCAGAGGAAAAGAACTTGATTTCAAAACACTGAGGATGAAGAATCTATTTGTACACTGTAAACTAATTTCAGCCGTGTTGCCCCACATATATGTGATTATTTTGCTGCCATTTTTAGATATCTTTCCAATAGCCACATGAAGAACAACGTTCAGCCA